AACAGCAGAATTATGAACTAGATAGTCTATTGTGGTCTATTAGTATCAGCAGTGAGATTATGCTAGGAGAGAATTTGGGACTGGGGAGTAACTTTGATTTCATTGGAAAAACCTGCCAGCAGCTTTAAGACAGTCAAGACTTGCTTCTAGAATCATAGAACAGTTTGGGTTGGAAGGGACCTTTAGAGGTCATCTAGTCCACCCCTCTGCAGTGAACAGGGATGTCTTCAACTAGATCAGGTTGCCCAAAGCCCCATCCAACTTGACCTTGAATGTTTCCAGGGATGAGGCATCTACAGTCTCTCTGGAAAACCTGCTCCAGTGCCTTCACCCTCATAGTGAAGAATTTCTTCCTAATAATTAAATCTACCCTCCTTCAGCTTAAGGCCATTACCCCTCATCCTGTCACTACCTGCCCTTGTAAACGGCCCCTCTCCAGCTTTCTTGTAGGCCCTCTTTGGGTACAGGAAGGCTGCTGTAAGATTTCCCTGGAGCCTTCTCTTCTCCAGGCTGAACAACCCCAGCGCTCTCAGCCTGTCTTCACAGGAGAGGTGCTCCAGCTCTCTGATCATCTTTGTGGTCCTCTTCTGGACTCGCTCCAACAGCTCTATCTCCCACTTATGTTGGGGGCCCAGACCTGGATGCAGTACTCAAGTGGGGTCTCATCAGAGTGAAGGAGGACTTAAGCAATCTGACATTGTGCCCTGTAGATTTTATCGGAGAGATGCACAGTCTTCTGAAAGACAACATTACATCTCATGTAGCTTTCTGCCTCCTAACTAAGAGGAGATGGGATTGGGAAGGAAGCAAAAGTGAGTATTTCAAAAATTTTGTTCTTTCTTTATTTGAATCTTAAAGCCTAACTTCACTATAAATTCCCAGTTCTGTCTGACATCTCAGGAAGTTCTGTCTGGAACTTCAAGAAAGCTGTAAGCCAGCACCAGTGGTCTGGGTTTTATGTGACTGCATTAGCAGGGTGATCATAGTGCTGAGTGTGAAGGCAGTGATACAATTGTGCATCAAGAGAAAGAGTTGGGGGAAGAATATTTGCTATTTATTTATCAACATGTTGTCTGCTACTCTTATGTTTGTTATTTAAAACAGCTAGCAGTGCTGTCTTGTCTTTTAACTTAAAACATGGGACAGTGATTTATTGAATAATGAACAAAACCACCTGTAGTTTTATGTGAATTGCTATGCTAATAGCATCATTTTGGAGATAGAATTTGTCATGTTTTTAGATCTGAATTTTGAACCTTGTGTAGCAAGCAATTTGGTTGCTCTCCACTTCTGTTAACCTAATTTCAAACTATTTAGCACAATTGTACACGTGATTAAAAAGGTCTACAGTAGATACTCTATGTCCCAAGAAGGTGGAACAAAGATTGTGTTATTGCTTCCTGCTTTCATTATATTTTCATCATTAGTACATAACTCACATTAGCAGAAGCTAACCTGTCTTCAGTGTGTGAAAACTTGGATGATCTGTATTACTTTGAAACTTTGCAGTGAAATCAACAGTGAAAATTACTTCTATTTGAATGCATGTTTAAAAGATTGAAAGGGTGATAAATACTTACAGAGATATTACAGGATATATTTTCCTTTTAAGACATTCAAATATTGGGTGTGTAGGATCTTGAAACCGCAGTCTCACACAGGAAGGGTATGTGGGAGAAAACAATTGTGGATCAATGCACACCCTTAAAAAATAAGACCTATAAAGTAGTCAGGATCATGGTCTACAGTGATTTGAGGATGCTGGGAAGCATTTTAAATGTTCTTTTCCTCAGAGTACCTGCAATTTCTTAAATGCTGTTTGATATTAGCCATGCCTCTTTGATAGCTTCTTTTCTCTTTATTTTTAAAATGTTAAGAGTTCAATTTTTAGGAAATTGTGTTTCAGATGTCTCTTAAATGGATACAAGTTTGGAAGTTGGATATACCCAGAGAGAGGGTTCTTGATTCTTGTTTTCTTACATGGATTTGAATCTTGTGTGCTCCAGAACAAGTAAAACAAACCCACACATCCCCTTTAAAACTAAACAAACAACAATTAAAAAAACCCCAAAAATCCCACACAACTTGGGAGGCTATATATATTAATTTCAGGCTTCAACAGCACACATTTTAGAGACACGGAGCTTTATTTTTAGTATCATTTTTAAAAGGGAATAAAGAAAGTGAGGCACAGAGGAAAAAAATCATGGGGACTAATGTTACAGGTTCTGATTAAACTTAGGAAAGCAAAAAATCCAAACTTAAAGCTGACCATTTGGTCTGACACTGCCCTTCACTGACCACGCTGATCTTACCAGATGGAGTTTTCACTCCACTCTGTATTTCTTTACTTTGGTGTATTTCAGTCCAGCCTCTTGTGTCACTGTAACATAGGAATTTTTTATTTTTTTCTTTTGTGGTTTAATTGTATGAAAAAATTTTGTGCTGTATTCTTGGAGCTGTACAGATGGTTCCATGCCAAACATATTTGTTTACCGTGGTAATGTCTGAGTTTTAGTGTGCCAGCTAATAAAGGGATTTATTTAAGGAACAAGGTGAATGACTAAAACAGATGTACCAGTTGGGTGAACCATTAAAAGAATCTTAATTCTCAGCTTTATGTAAAGGTTATTTTTAATGCATTTCTGAGAAATCAAGAGTGGTTGCAAGGATGGTTTTGAGACAGCTGAAAGCATCTTGTCCATTTGCTTGGGGGTCTTTTCCTGTGGGCTTAAGACACATTAGTCTTTCATCTATCTTACTGAAGAATTTGCAAAGACAGTAGGTAAAAGTCCTGAATTTTGACATCTGATTAAGTGTTATAATATCATCATGGATTTTGTCCTGTTTATAAATTGTATGATTCTATCTTTCAGTTGTGGGGAAACCTCTTTTAATATTTCTGTAATGTAAATGTAAATTTCTGTAATATAATACAAATATGTATCTTAATTCCATGGAAATCCTGGGTCAACCTGCTATAATAATACTAAAACCTTACACATCTTTTCTCACACAAACATAAGGTACTCTGGTTTTACTAGAAAATGAAGCACTCTGGCTACTAAGCATTTTAATCAGGATTGATGTAAAAGTGTTTAAAAGAGGAGCTAAACCTGTAAATTGAATGCCGTTTGTCCAAGCACTTAGTCTGTTGTACATCATATAGTCCAGGTGACTTTCAGAAACTCCACTGATTCTGCTGTTGTTTATATCTTTGACTGGAATGTCTCCTCTTAGAAATTGACTTTTGTGAATTAGAGATTTGTAATCTTGTTTCTTAGATGTTGATCAACTCATTTGTGAAGAATCCTGGAGACAGTGGTAATACTAAAGAGAGGTTAAACAAAAAAGCAAAAACATTTTAATAATGTTTTTTAAACTTAGCTTTAACTTGTTGGGTACACAAAATATTTCCATTGAATTTCCTTTAATTTAGGAGTTACCTTTATTAATAGACAAAGGCTAACTTGGAAAAAGAAAATGATTTGTTAATTCTGGTGCTTAAGTATATGGTTTGTTTTGAATTAAGCAAATAGGCAGCTAATTAAGGCACATACTGTACTAAACTTGACCACATACTTGTATGCCATTTTGCATAACAGTAGATTTTAGGTACTTGTTTCTGAAGCTGTTCTCAAAAAGATGAAACAGTGTAGTCTGTACCTGTCTGTTGCTGTTTGATGCATCTTTCTTTGTATTTGGCTTACAAGCTTTTATGTCACGGACTTTATTTCATGTTCACGGCACTGGGCAGAAGAAAACCTGTGCTCTCTCATTTTCAACTTGTGTGACTGAGGAGTGCAAATGCCACTTGTACAAGTGTACAAGTAGTAGTATTTCTGGTTTAGAACTGGCCATTTACATATGTGAAGCCTCTCTGGTATTAATAAAGGTAGAATTTGTTCCTTCGTTGAGAATAAGAGAAATAGCGACTCTCTCATTTTAGGTTAGTTGTGGTTTTGTTTAATCCTAGTACTGAAAAAAATCCAGAGAGAGCACAGAATTCAATGTTAGCATTTTCAGTGGCTTCCCATCCAGACAAATCTATCAAAGGCTGTCTGTTTGTAGGCGGTGATTGTAATCTGATCTGAGTTTAAGTAAAAATGAAAAATGTGCCCCCTGATTAAACATTGCAATTAAGGATTTTAGGGGGCTTGTTTTTGAGATGAAGCATCAATCTCATAGCAGTATGTTTGGTATTAAATTGTAGACCCACTTCGAGGCAATTAGATAGCCTTTCTTGGGATGTCAGGGCTCTATTCGTCATCTTTATTTAAAAACAAAGAAAAAGCTGCTTTGAATTATAACTTCCTTGATTATCTGAGGTTTGGGCAGAGTGTTAAAGCACTTAAAATACTGACCTGACAACACAGTATTGGGAGGGTGGGGTTATCATGTCTCTAATTTGTGTCTGTGCACCAATCCAGTTAGCACATGACAGTTCTTTAAGTTATTTTTTTGAGATACCTGCCCCATTAAGGTGAGGATGGCTATATTTATTTAAGAAAAAGAAAAATTGACATAAGGAGGAAGTTTTTGTGAATACCTAGAGGTTCATAATACCTTTCTCCTGTCAATTTTGACAAGAGTAAGACAACTGAATCCCATAAAGTTAGCTCCTGCAAAGCTGTCCTGTTTAGCAGTTACTTCAGTTTGTCCTATTTCAAGGTGGATTTCAACCCTAACTCTGTTTAGGATTAAGAACCTCTTGGCAAGGTTCAGATTTAAAATGTTTAGCTGACATGATCAACCTTGACATTGAACTGACTGAAACTTGGTTTTACATGGCTTCCAAATGCTGCATTCATTCTTGAAGGACCATGTTTAGAATGCCAGGAAATGCAGTGTGACTGCATGTAAATGGAGTTAGACCCAGAAGAGATTCCTTCTCTCCTTTGCTGGAGAGATGCTGAATTGTTTTTATTTATCATGTATGGTAAAGGCTTTTGATCTTATGCTTCATTAATCACTTGTTTTCTTTCCTTACACCACTCCAGGCCATATACACCTATGAAAGGAGCTGCTTCTACTGTGTGGTTTGACAGGTATAAGATCTCTAATGACTGTCCAGAACACATTGAAAGTATTGATGCTATGTGCCGGGGACTTACAGACTTGATCAATGATGAAATTAAAAATGGCATTGCAAAGAATAGGATACTAATAGGTAAGAGAAATTTATTTTTGATGTGTTTATTTTAATGATTTGTAATTGTTAAGAGATATCTACTTCAAATTCACTCCATCCAGAAAACTCATGAGCATGCCTTGCAACTGATGAACAGCCTCTTCAGCAGCCAGTCCTCAAGAATATTGAATCATTATTTAAACCTGTGTCAGGTGGGAAATGTGGCTAACTGTAAGCAGTGTCCTCAAAAATGTAACTTTAAAAAGAGTTTTTAATGTAAATAGTCATTTGTAATTGTTATTTAAAATACAGAGTGGGCCATAATTTACTTTGAAAATTAGATATTTTTACTGTTTTCTTTTAGCCCTTTTCAAGGATGGAAAAGTATACTTTACCAAAATGACTTGTATTTTGGAGAGTGGGGCTGTAGCATATGAATAATCATGAGCTTTTCCTTACTGATCTAATCATTTTGTGCCAATTCATGGGGAAAAAATATTGCATGTTACACATCACTAAAGATTAACACTTGATAACAAATGAAGTATTAACTGTCATAGTTCGTATGTGTGTATCTTCCTGTTCTTCTTAATTTCCACAAATTTCCAGTAACTTTCACAGTACTTCTGTGAAATATAGTGGGATACTGAGGCACAGGAGTTGAGGGAAATGGAGTAGCCTGTATCGGTGAGGGAATGAGAATTCGTGAGTCCTTGGCTCCCTGTCCCATCCCTAGACCACAAACTATTTAAGGTTAGGGGGAAAAAGTCTTAATGTGGGAACTTATAAATCTATGGTCATCTGAGTCATACCATCAAAATCCTGCATGATGGAGCCACTGCCATTCAGCCTACATGTTTTCTTGGTCCAGCCCCATGTTGCTCTTTTGAAGGCCTCTGTTCACTTTCCAGTTCTGGCTCATTACCCTGGCTGCAGAATGCATTGTTTTGGATGGCTGTCAACACAGTGTCTTTGATCTGTCTTTCCTGTGTTATACCTGCTGGCTTGGAAACAGCTGAAGAAGTGCAGGTACTTTTCTGTGGAGTGAGCTGGGAGATGATCTGCATACAGATCCAACTTGCTACTAGGCTTTTCTCCTTTCTTTGCAGCCTTCAAAATTAGAACTAGTGAGACTGTGGAGTATGACAGTTGTTTTGCAAGTCATAAGCAGAGTAAGGAAGTTGGTATGCACTGATTGTTTCAGCCCGTAGATTTTTTTTTGGAAGTCCCCATCTCTGTGTGTTTGCATTCCTCATCTGTAAATCAGAAACACTGGAGTGAGTCCAGAGGAGGACTTTGAAGATGATCAGGGGGCTGAAGCACTTCTCCTATGAGGACAGGCTGAGAGAGTTGGGGTTGTTCAGCCTGGAGAAGAGAAGGCTCTAGGGAGACCTTACAGCAGCCTTCCAGTACCTAAAGGGGGCCTGTAAGAAAGCTGGAGAGGAGCTGTTTACAAGGGCATGTAGTGACAGGACAAGGGGTAATGGCCTTAAGCTGAAGAAGGGTAGACTTAGATTAGATATAAGGAAGAAACTCTTTACTGTGAGGGTGAGGAGGCACTGGAACAGGTGCTAGAGAGATTGTAGATTCTTCATCCCTGGAAGTGTTCAAGGCCAGGTTGGCTGAGGCTTTGGGCAACCTGGTCTAGTGGAGGGTGTCCCTGTCCATTGCAGGGGGGTTAGAACTAGATGATCTTTAAGGTCCCTTCCAACCCAAACCATTCTCTGATTCTATGAAATAATTATTCTTATTTTCTCACTCTTGAGAGCTTTGATTTAAGGCTTCTAGAGTTAGACACTGTTTCCTTGCCTCTGTGACAGAGACTGCTTGCATACATCCTCACAGCTGAATCTAATATTTGTGCAACAAGCAAAATTAGGCAGTGCTGAATTAGCTCCATCCAAAGTACAGAAGAGGACCCATGTGGATACATAAGAAATTTGCTAGTGGAAAGTGAATTATGTCTCTTGTGTCTGCATGAGATGAAGCGTTCTTCCACGAGAACTTTGTGGCTTCCCTCTACTGGTTTTGATGATAAACTGATGTGTGGTGCAGTGGAGAACGAAGCTTAGAGATCCTGTAAGGTTTCTGTGCATAAAGGTTGGGTTTAGTATCAGTCTGAGTCAGCCTAATGTGACATTCTTAGTTGTTTTAGATGGGACTTTGTGCAAATAATTGTCCATCTTCTGGCATTGTTTCTTCCTGGGAATTAGGAATTCTGAAAATTAGGATTTCTGGCAGCTTTATAACATTTTTGATCAGAAGAGAATGAGGCCAAGTTTTGGTTGTGAAGATACAGACAGTGTGTCTGCATCAAACTAGTGTCAACTGGAAAAGGAGAAATGGATTGCGTGAAATCTTTCCAAGTTTGGGAAAGATTGGTGTACAGGAGATAATGGAAGATATGGTCACTTGTTTAGAATGTCAAAGAACAAAGTCCTGTGAGATCTTTTTAGATTTCTCTTTGGAAAAAGTCAGGAATATTCATCTAGTACAAGAAGAGGAGGCTTGAGGTCACGGGTGGGGAGCAGACAGTGGATTTCTGACCATACTACAGAGTTGGAGGAGGCAACCTGCTTGAGGTGAAGGGAAAAATAAGACAATTATAGCAGAGGAGACCATGGCGAAATTTTGCTATGAATATTTCTTCAGTGCATCCAGTGATGTTGAGTCATGTTGGAGATCCATAATGGGAATACTGGTATGTATCTTGTTATGGAAAGTAGAGACAAAAATAGTTGAGAGAAGAGACTGGAGGACTTAGGAGGCTGTGAAGAGCAGTGGGGGCCTTTTCAGGTAGGTCACAGAAGCCAAGAGAGCAGAGCAGTTGCATGAAGAGGTGGTTACAGGGAATGAAATGGTTGTTAAAGCGTTAAGGAGAACTGCGTTGTGGGACTGTCCATTTTATAACGAGTGGGAGTTTTAATGAGTGGAAAGAAAACAAAATGAGCATGAGGAGGGTAACAAGATTGAAGGTTATGGTTTTATATGGAATAGCAGACTAGAAATTACAGGCTGAGGATGAGTGTCAGATATTGTTAGATGAGGGCAAGTGAGGTGTTAGGCAAGCAGGAAGGTGGGTAGCTGCTGACAGCTCCTAGGTGTGGGATAAGAAGGCAAAGATCTGAGGGAGCACTGTGCAAAGGAGAGTGAGTGGGAAGAGAGGGGAAGCGGGAGCAGGCTCTCAAGCAGTGGAAAATGAGAAGCCCAACACCTGGTGTTCTGGGGGATGATTCTCCCGGAGCCCTTCAGACTTTCCACAAGGCTCAAGATTGTGGGTACAGTAAGATCATTTGTTCTGAAAGAAATTATAGCCTGCGCTGTTTGTTTCGGCAGTTCGGTTAGCTCTGAAATCCATGAGCGGCTGCTTGTAGGGCAGAGCTCTAAAGCTGAGGATGGAGTCCAGGTTGTGCGATGCCACTCCTCTTTTTCTATATCAAGAAGAATAATGGTGCAGCCTTGTTTTTAACAGCTGCTCTATGAATCTACTTCTAAAGAATTGAATTATTTAATTTACTGGAGGTAAATAAAGTCTTACAATTAAAACCTCCATATCAATTTAGTGTAACAACCAGCACAAAGTAGGACACGGCTCATCTACCTATTGCTATTTCCTGACAGTTTCATGAGTTGCTTTCCTGTTCACACTGAAGCCTTTTGAAGGAGGTAGACTTCTGGTTTATTAAGGTTTATTTCCACTGACCTTGGAGGAGGAAGGAAGGGAGACTGACTGCAATATGTAATTATTCAAAAATAAATATATCATCCCCAGAATTTGATAATGGAAGTCACTTTTTAGCCAAACATTCTTGTTGAGTTACTCTTACTGGTCTTCCTGGCTAAAGCACTTCTTGCAAATAATCCTGTAAGTAGGTTTATATTGACTTTGGAGATAAAAGAGGATGATAAAATTAGTCAAATTCTGACACTTGGAGCTTTAATAGTATCCTTTCTTAAAAACTGGATGTATTCCTTCTTTATAAATGCCTGAATTCATTGCTAAATTAGATAAGTAAGCAAATAACCACAGTTTGAAATGTGGGACAATAATTTCTTGTTCTATTTAAGGCTGAGTTGGTTTTTCAGGTGGTGGTGGTTTTGCTTTGTCTTGTTTTCTTGTGTTTGGTTTTGTTTTGTTGGGTTTTTTAAACTGCTTCCATAGTGATAGTGCACTATAAAATAACTCCTCTTCGGTCGAAATTGCCAGAGATTTCAACAGTCTTACTCAAGAATATGTTAGAAGCTCTTGAAAGAAATGGCCACTTCACATTGGGAGCATTTTGAGAATGCTCACTTTAGTCAACTACACTTCAGTGAAAGGCAGTCTCTTTGTTCCCTCTTTTGTTCTTAATTTAGTGCTACTTTCCTACTTTTACAGGTCACTTTTTGTGTAGGGCAGAAATGCTGATCCAAGCGTGTTGGTCTCTGCCACCTGTAGTCACTTGTGTAAGCAGCCAGTGAAAATAAACTTTCCATAACAGTCCTGTAGATTTGACTGTATGCCAAAAAACACATGCATGATTCCTGACCCCTTGTACTGTAACAATAACACAAGACACACAACCACTTTTTGTTTATTGCTAAACTTCTTACATAGCTACTGAACCATGGTGGAAGTAACATGAAAGCTCTGTGCTTCTTGTAAATATTAACATTTCCATCTCTCTCAGTGTGTGTGAGAATGGGATGGGGAGGAAGTATCTTGGCTTTGACATCGCAGAGAAAGAGGATTCTGTAAATACGGGAAGATTAAAAAAATCCACAATAAATCATTAAAATGTTGGGCAAACTGCTTAACCTACAGTCTTGGTATTTTGTCTTTGGCTTCTAAGCCTCTTGCTGTCACTCATCCTATCTTGTATCTTCTGTCTTTATTAGGAAAAACACTGTCTTTCATTGAGAGGCACTTGCTACCTTGCTTTCACAGAGTAAATTCATGGTTTTATTTGTCACTGCAAATTAAATGAGATTTTTCTTTCTGAACCACCTATTTATGTGGCTTTGTGGTTTATCTAAATTATGCCTATGAGATGCTGGGC